CGTCACAGCCGGAGTCACACGCAGCGCGGCTCACCCGCCCCACCGGATCTGCAATGATGAGGACTGTATATAACATTTTCACTTTGAATTCACCCTTTTTGATATTTCGTATCATGGAATTTTGATATTTTTTCAAAATTTTTGCATTTTTGGACTGCTACGTGAAGCCCGCCCACTGTGAGAGGCTCCGCCCACTTCGAAGAAGCCCCGCCCACTTTTCAAAAATGGTGCAAATCGGCAGTATAGGGTCTTGGCTTTCATGCTAGGGTCTCGTTCGTCACTCGGAACAAGAAAATCAGGCAAAGTTTGTTCCGAATGATCAGCAATACCCTAGCATGCCAGCCGAGACTATACTGCCGATTTGCACCATTTTTGAAAAGTGGGCGGGGCTTCTTCGAAGTGGGCGGAGCCTCTCATAGTGGGCGGAGCTTCACGTAGCAGTCCGAAAATGCAAAAATTTTGAAAAATATCATTATTCCGCCATCAGCAAGGGGCGGGGCTCGCAGTGGTGTCTGCGTGATCTGGTTGATGAGTTGCCCGGCCTAATAAGTGTGGTTAATTTGATTTGGAAAGTGATGGTGAATTTGATTTGAAAAGGGGTGAATTTGGTTTGAAAAAGGGTGAATTTGGTTTGAAAAGAGGGTGAATTCAAATTGATGGTATATACAACGATTCTTACTTATCATTTCAGGTGATACAGCACTTTGCCTACCAGATATATGCCACGATCATCTCTTTCTATGGTCCGACGATCATCATGCTTATACTGTATGTGCAGATTTGGCGCGCAGCGAAGCGCATAGCACGCAAAGATCATAATCAGACGATTGACATTCGCGTCGGCTTCCACAAGGATTGCAGTGGTTCTGTGGATCTGGTTCCAGAATCGCAGAAATCGTTGAATGTTGTGAAAAATGAGGACCGCGGCTACCTGCATCGATCAAGTACACTCTTTCATGCAGTCAAAGTACCACTGGTATGCTCCTAACCTTCAATTTCCATTGAATTGCAATGTTCGAAACTTCTGTAGGCAGGTAAATGGGTTGGTGGGGTGTCGAGGTGTTTTGCGCAGTATCGAAGGTGAGCGGCTTTAGTTTCTCCCAGCGTGAGCGATCGTCAATGAACCATTCTGACGACGCATGGCCTCCAGTTGATCGTAGATTTATGATCACCTGAGATAGTTCTCTTTTCAATGACGTCTGAGCCACGCATATACACTCTAAATCCCTGAGACGTGATGGGCGTGGCTTCCTACTTCGGTTTGATGGGACGGAGGCTGTGCTTTTGGAGAGGTATTTTCATTTTGACACAATTGTGGGCATGTCTCTGTCCAACATTGAACAAGAGGACAATCACCTCGAACTAAAATATCCCACGTGTAAGCCATTCTGTGCCATGTTGAAATGCCACGCCTACTCTGTCTCGGGGATAAGGACTGTACGTTACTGCTGTCTCTTCGCCTTTAGTCCCGGCACACTTTGAAATATCTTTGCAGCTGCTCATCTTCATAATGGTTGCGGTCCTCATTCTGATTGCGTGACGAACACCGTATTAGCATAGGATGAAACTGTAATTAGGTTGCAAACTGGCTCTCATATGTTCCACTATCTTTTCATACAGTTTATTTCCATCTTTTCAGCGAAGCCCATTACTGTGACACTCTGACCAAACTTAGGGCCGCCCATCCAATATGCCGTTGTACTACCTTCTCGTTTCGTAATGCCGTCGCTCAGTGGCGACCAAGCCAATGAATGGACTGACTGCAATCCTTGAAGGTGCTTTTGGGAGTAGCGCGCGTGAAGTATCGGACTGGCCTATTTGTGATGGCGTTTTTTCCTTACAGAAATTTTCATATTAAAATGAGAATAATTTTCAGTGAGAATCGTTTCCAGTGTCTTCTCTGCTTTTCGATAGATAATTTTCCGCTCTGTAAGATAGTACCAGTGCCTCCCTATTTTTTATAGAATTCTGTCGATTTTTGTTTCATTGAAATGGAATGCGGGGTCAACACAAATGTGAGTTTTTGACAACAACTTTTTGCACTTTATCTCGGACTCTAAAATCACAGAAGAAACTCAAAACTTGTGATATATATGGACATGGGAAGATGCTTTTCGTGACAGCTTCGAAGTTGGTCCAAGCGATTAAAGACAGC